CGAGCTCGATTGCGGCATGAATTTTTTAATGATGAAAGCCGTTTCTCTTCCTGAAGATTTTGGTTAATCAACAACCTAATATTTTGCTAAATATTATCCACTTAACAGTTAAACGTATATCTTTAATAAAAATTGTAACGAATTTCTTTTAACTAAAACGATCACTTGTACGTATAACGATCTCTTGTGACGAATTCCTTTTTACTATAACAATCTCTTGTGACTAAAACGACGAATTCTATACTTTTTCGAACTACAATTATTTTCCTGGATATTGATCTCATTCTTTGTCTTAGTGTCGATGGTCATTTCATACATCCCCTTCCCCCTTTATTTAGAATTTCTTCTCAGGTTAGACAGAATGTTTAGGTCCATCATAGTACATAAATTTTTCTGCACCATTGTTAGAAGTCGAAAATTTATAATGAACACGATGTCAATTTAATTTATTAAATATAATCAAAATCTTAAATAACATAAATAAACTAAAACGTAAAAATATAAATATAAAATTAAAGTCAAACTAAAAATTATAAAAAAAGGTTTTCCTTTCTTTTTCTTCTTCATATAACATTTTTTGTCTCTATATTTATACTACTAAAATTTACATACCATCGATATTATTTTTTATAATTGTCCTTTAATTTTCTTAAATTTTACCTTTCGATTTTTACAATTTAAAAATTTTATCTTTACAAAATTTATATTCAAATTTCTTTAAATTTATAATTAATTCAATAAACGTATTCGACATACCTAAATTTGGAAATATTCAACGTTAATATTACCTGTACTACCTGCCTTCTTTATGTAAAATCTAAAATACTTTTTGAAGCTTGGATTATTTTAATAACTAAGTCTGTAATACTTTTAGAAAGGAATGGTACAATTTCTATTTCATCATTCTGAATTCCATTTTCATTAAATGACGAATCAGAGTCAGAATTCATATTAAATTCTGTACACAGACAAGAAGGAATCACCCCCCCCCCCCATTCGAAATTTGTGCATTCTCAAAAATATTATTTTAAGCTAATAAAATTCCCTCCTATACACCACCACCCCCTTTTCACAAAAATATACACACTATAAACATTAATTTGAAAGAAAAATAAGTAAAAGTTAATGACTTATTAAAATATCGACTATATCAAAATTTTTTATAAAAGTGAAAAACTAAAATTATTTTTATAAAAAAATAACCTAGCCAAAGACCTTCAAAGGTGGACCTACAAATAAAATTTATGTGGCAAAAACTCCAAAATAGTGTTTTCCCCCTAGCAAAATCTAGGTTATGGGCTATGATTCTATATTTGTTTGATTCATTTATCTATATTAACTATATAAAAAGTCTTGCATATAAAATCAGATATATAACCAAAATTTTAAATTAATAAGTTTAATTTAAAATTAATTTACTAAATAATTTTTTTTTAATTTTGGTTGTTTTAATGAATATTTTTTGGTCATATAAAAAATTTATCAAAGTTCAAACATGTTGCATACCACTTTTGGCACATTCTGCATTGTTTTTTATTAGAATTCAATTAGCCAAATAAGAGTCACTACTGTATATGCTGAAAATATCCAAATTCTTCAAGATATAAACTTGGTTTCAAATAAATTAATAAAATTAAAGAATCATTGCTGTATATGCTGAAAATATCCAAATTCTTCAAGATATAAACTTTGTTCCAAATATTCATAAAATTAAAGAATCACTACTGTATATGCTGAAAATATCCAAATTCTTCAAGATATAAACTTGGTTCCATATAATTTCATAAAATTTAAGGATCACTATGTATATGCTTGAAAAAATTCAAATTCTTTAAGATATAAACTTGGTTTTAAGTAAATTAATAAAATTAAGGAATCACTACTGTATATGCTGAAAATATCCAAATTCTTCAAGATATAAACGGTTTCAAATAATTTCATAAAATTAAAGAATCACTACTGTATGTGTATATGCTGAAAATATCCAAATACTTCAAGATACAAACTTGGTTTCAAATAAATTAATAAAATTAAAGGTAAAATATAGAATACAAGAACTAAAATATGTTTAATTACACAACGTGTTCTAACTGTTCTAAAAACATTACTGTTACCAAAAAAATGGGGAAAATAGATGTCCTCTTTCAGGTGTCTCACCAATCCAAATAGACCTCGCTTCATATGGCTACCCTGCTTTAAGTAATGATATTTAACATGTTTTTGTTGCACTCTCCCAGCCTCTAGAATGCTCTACCAATAATTCTCCAATCCCAGACTGGATGAATGATCTTTTATATAACACACTACCCTCAACGATATCTAGGATTCATCGGGGAGTCAGAACAATTGCAGCCAGTAAACTTAATACCACTATTCAATCACTCAATAATAATATAATAAATGTTGCCAACTGGGAAAAACTTTTTGACTTCTGTTTTACTCACTTGAATGTTCCATCGAAATAGTTAAACCTAACAAAACAAATTAAGTGTCAGTTAATCAACCCAATCCCCAACAGCAATGCCTCTTCTTCTTCAATACCTACCTTTAATCATAACATTCCAGATTTAAAGGCTAAACTTATCAATCGTAAAATTAATGCCTGTAATATTAAAGCGGCTCTAAATCTAGCAGTGTCCGAAGACACCATATTCCTTGACAATTTGGACACTATACTCTTACTACAATCTATACATCCCCAAGATTTTAGTGAACTACCACCACCACCTCTAACCATTCCCACTCCCCTCTAACCGCCATAGAAGTTATTAAGGCAATAATCTCCTTCAGAGAAGATCCTCGGGAGGACTTTACGGTTTTAGAGCTATATACCTTCAGACCTCACCGAATCAACAACCACCAACACTGAACTTATACACAACATAACAACTCTACTTAATCATATTTTAAACGTCAACATACCTTCCTCAGTACATCTTATTCACGGTGCACCTTAATAGCCTTAAACAAAAAAGATGGCGGCATCCGCCCAATGGCCGTCGGACTCTATTTTCCGTCGAATTATATCAAAAATTATTTGTACTCGCATTAAAAACAAGCTCAACCAGCGATTGATTCCCCATCAGTTGGCTTCAACACACCTTCCGGTTGTGAAGCGGCCTCCCATGCCACGCGTATCCAACTTCACTCCACAAAAAACTGTCTACTAAAAGTGGATTTTAAAAACGCCTTTTACTCTTTTAAACGGGAACATTTCCCATTTTTTGCGACGCTTTTCTAGAATATTCTCACTACCTTTTTGCCTCTTATAACAAATCATCCTATCTTAAATTCAACAACACAATAATTGAATCAAGGCAAGGCATTCAACAGGGTGATCCCTTCGAACTCGCCCTTTTTTGCTTAGGTATCCAGTCGATCATTGAAATGATAAATTGCGAGACAAATTTGACCCTCAATGTTTGGTATTTGGATGATGGAACCCTGGCTGGTCCACATAATGAACTACAAAAAATAGCTCCCATAATAAATAATCTAATCTATATTACAGGGTTGTCTCCTAATAACAACAAATGCGAATTTTATTCACCAGATGAAATCTTTACCGCTCCTCATAACTTCACCAAGCAATCGAATATTTCAAAACAAAATTTCTCCGTAATTTCCACCTTTTACATAAAATCCTCAAAGTCCTTCCTTCCCATCAAGCTTTCTTCCTTCTCAAAAACTTTTTCTTTATTCCCAAATTCCAACATGCCTTCCGCTCTGCCCCACTTTTCTTATTCCCGGAAATTCTCACCCAAATAGAATCAACAATCAAAGACTCTTTAGAAGGCATCCTCAATATAAAATTCAGCCCTTTAAAGCAACATGATTGGGATCTTCCCTTAATACGCCACTCCGTTGAATATCTAATATCGAGTGCTGTGTCTAAGGAATCCCCATCAATTCTTTAACATTTATTATCGCCCATTTTAGTTGAAGAATCCTTAACTGTTGATCATCTTTCTCTCCCACAACAACTGCAAGTTCCAGAACTTTTACCTTCCTTGTCGGGTTATGAATGGTTAGAAGCTTTGCCCAGCTCAAACTTAGGACTCCTCCTAAACGAAGAATTATGCATTGCAATAGGTCTCCGTCTCGGTTGTAAAATACTGGCCAACTCTGCATGCACTTTATGTTCTCACCCCGTTGATTGTTTCAGACATCACCCCCTTCAATGTCGATTCTCGAAAAGTAAACACTCTCAGCACAGTGTAGTTAACGGCACCATCCGCGCTCTAGGCTCAGCTCAAATCCCCGCAACCCTCGAACCCTGTGGCCTCTCAACTGAAAATAGTATCCGGCAGATGGGCTGACCTTAATACCTTGGAGTAATGGAACTCCTTTAGCATGGGATTACACTTGCATCGACCGATTCGCTCCCTCGTTTAGTAACAACTCATTTGTGTGAGCGAAAAACTCTAAAATTAATAAATAAATTTCCCTAACCAATTGCAATCTTACCAATTGTTCCGACACAACCGGTTTTTTTGGCAATCATGCCCTAACCTTCTTCAAATCCCTTGGTAAAAAAATCGCGCCATCAATGGTAACCCACAGGAAGACTTCTATCTTCGACAGCGTGTATCTATTGATATATGCAGATCTATTTGTATCGCCATCCAAGGCTCCCTCTTTTGACCTCCTCCCTCCCAACATATAATTTATTATACTAATTATATACAATTTACATTTTGTAATATTTTAAAAATACTATTACTTTTAATTATTTACAAAATTTAGATAGAAAAAGAAATTTATTATAATATATAAAAATAAAATTAATCATTTGAATATATTTATAATAAGATTAAAAAGTAATTACTTACATTTCGTAGTTACATTACAAAAATATGTAACTAGTTACAGTATTTTTTTTACAAAAATGTAACTAGTTATTAGTAATAGAGCAACACTAAATTCTACCGTAAATTTGCAATATAATTTATTTATGTAAATTTATATTAAAATTTAACTTCTATTTATATAAAAAAAATTCATAAGAAATCGGTATTTGTTTTAAGATTATCTTCACCAATAACATTTAAAAATGATTTGTTATTCGGATCTTGAATATTGGATACTATTGTATGAGCTGGTTTGACATTTAAGTGAATGAAATCATTTTTATTATTGTCTTGATCATTATACATATTGAAACTTGGTTCTAAGTATGATTGCTCCGATAAAGACTGAATTCTATTTTTGTTAGATGAAATAGTATTTATTGATGAGGTGGGATTATTGGTCGAGCAAATAAAACTAAGTAGACTTCTTAATTTATCGTTTTTATAATTTTTAATATATTTTTCGACGTCGTTTCTTATGCCATCACCGGTAAACATGTATTTAATATGATATAAAAATCCACAAATCATATCGACATGTTTAAAGGCAAAATTATTATCGATTGAACTGAAGCTTGTTGTTTCCAATTTGTTATCCCTAAAAGTATAATGATTAATATTGCAAAAGATGAAAGAATATCTTGTTCAAAAGGCCAAACCCATTTCCGAAATGTAAAAGTTTCATTCTTTTATGCTACTTAGGAAAAATAAATTAAAGTTAAATTATTTTCATGTGTAGAATTTACAATATATAAAACTTAAATTTTGCCTTCAAAATTATAATCAAAAATGGATTTGTATTTTTTAGCTATATATATGAGGAGAAATTCAATTCATCAAAGATTTAACCAAAGTCCCATTTCTCTCCCACCAAATTGCCCTAGATCATAAATAACTATTCGTTTAAATATTTGATAGCTTTTGATTTATATCAATTATTTATTAAGAATATTTGCAATAGACTAATGATTAAAATGTCTTATCTCATAAAAGCTAGGCCCAACTTGAAAATTTGTGAACAATATAATTTCCACAAGATGGAGCATTTAAATTATTGATCTGTATTTTTATATAACAAAAGAGCGGTTTAATTTGCAACAGAATATGAATATATATTTTATAATATAAAATGATACAAATTAAAATTCATGTAAAAGTTTTTTTTTGTTCAACAAAAATAAGATTTATCTTTTCACAAGTTATTCTTAATTAATGAAATGTATAGGCATTTATTTTTATATTTTTAATAACCACAATATTTATATAAAGAAAATTAAGTAATATGAATTATAATATATAATATCGTGAGTTAAAAATATAATACTATAATTTTAATAAATTTTTTAATACGTTTTAAATTACAGAGATAATGTTAATATCTGTCTTTTTTTTATATTATTTTTATTCCTGTGATTACTATTAAATAGAATAGATGGCTTTGAATCAAAATGATTATTATTTTTTAAATTATGGTTTCCAATTAACAATTAAGCTCTTTTAAGTAAGTGGACCACCCATGCAGTTAAAAGAGAATTTTTTAAATAGCATAAGTTAGATCAGGAATTATGATCCCTTAGAATGCATTCACAGTAAAGAGTGATAGCGACACGACAAAATATTAATATGTGTAAATACCAATGACTATTCATAGTGAGCTTTTGCGACGCGAAACGACAATTCCGCTAAATTTGTCGCATTCAACATAGAAATCAAATTACAAAACATTTTGTTATTTTCAAAACAACATAACTATAATATGGCTGAAATAGAAAATTTACAAGTGAATTTTTGAAATGCTATTAAAATAATAATGTTATATATATATATATATATATTTTAGAAATAAATAAATATTATATTATATATTTTAAATAATTTGATATATATATATATATATTTTAGAAATAAATAAATATTATGTTATATATTTTAAATAATTTGTTATAGATAATCAATATAGAAACTTTAATTATATTATTATATATATTTAGCATACCATCAACTAGTAGGATCATATTTATCTTGCAAAAAATTAATTAAAAAGAGGGATATTGATCAAGGTAATTTACATTTGTAAATATATTTAGTACTTTAAACTAGATTTATTTGAGTAAATATTAGAAATAGAAAAAATAAAAGAAAGAAAATTATCAACAAACTCTTGGATCAATATTATGCTTGAGCAAACCCTTGCAAAAAATTAGAGAGGGGAAAGAAAAAACTAATTAAAATCATCTTTGATATTTTATTATGAAGGTGATGAATAAAAAATATTATATTGCATTGTTATTATTTTAATCAAAATTTTATCTCACATGTTTTTATTTTAAGACACATGATAACACAAAAAATATACTTTATTTTTATTAAATAATTACAAATTAATTATAATAACATGATAAAAATGGAGTAATATTGTTAAAATTTAATAGATTGATTATAGTTATAATTGCCATAATTTATTACTTTAAAAATAAGAAAAGGCATCTCTAATATCTTAGAAACTTATGAGGGGTTTTTATATGAGAATTCCATAAATAATCTCTATTTTGTTTAGGATCTTAAGTATCCTTGGGGTGGAGTTCTATGTTTTCTCTATCAAATTAATATAAACCTTAGTGTTGATCATCAATTTTTCTCCCACTGATGTGGGATTTTTAATAAAGTTTTTTTTTTTACCACTAGTTTTAATTTATAATAAAAGGTTTTTTAAATACAAAATTAGTTTATACAATGAAATAGGTTAATCTCATATAATTGTAAAACCAAGATTCTTTATAAGTTTTGGGAAAAGAAATCTATTTCCTTCTTTTAACATTCAGATTATTTTTTCTTCGCCTTTCCATATAACGATATAATAAGAGTTTAAAAAATAAAAATATGCTTGTCGCAACTACTATGAATGCTATGTCGCTTACGACACATCAGCTGCTTTGTGTCGCGTAGCTCTCTAGTGAATGCATCCTTATTCATTACCAAATATTAATTAAATTAATAGTTTCCTACATATAAAAACATTTTATTTCATCATTTTGCGAGAAAAGAAATAAATTTATTATGTTTAAAATTAAGTTACCTATATTATTTTATTTAACAAGAAAAGAGTAAATTTGAAGAGAACATATTAACTTTTTTGATTATCTTGTCAGAAACAAACGATATTATTATAAGATACATTATTTTCATTCTACTTATCGTTTGACAAAATAAAATTCTTGTGATAATCGAATTGTGATTTTTAATACCTAAAAATTTAAAAATAAATTAATTAAAAAGATAATATTTTTAATAATGATTTTCCCCAATATATAAAATATATTTTCTTGTTTTGGTTATTTTTAATTTACTAGATTTTGTAATTAATCTATTCTTCCAAATAAAATAAAAAACTTTACATAAATTTTAAATTTATATCATTTTATATTATAAAATATATAATCATATTATGTTGTAAATTAAACCGACATTTTTGTTATATAAAAAATATTCAAATTAAATTTTCTAAACTTTATTTTCTTAATATATATTTAAAGATTAAAAAATTATGATCATTTTCACAAGAATCTTTATTCATAAATTGTTTTTTTTTATCAAAATTTAATCAGAATTCATATTCTTACCTTCATATGTTTTTTTTTACATTTGAGCTATCGGACATTGAGGTTGAAATATTTGAATTCGTACAGGTCAATACCTTAACTGCGAATTCATTAGGGCGAATACATTTTAGCAAAACTTTTATCGCGAACCCGTTATAGCGAAACATTTATCGGTAACCCTTTATAGCGAATTTTTTACCGCGTAATTCTGAGGAAATTAAATCTTTTACTTAAAAATATTAACCTTTTGGGAATTCTGTAAGAATTACTTTAGGTAGTTCCAATTCTGAGCAATTAAGGGGAAAAAATAATTATGTTGTAGTACTAACCTACATATATTGTAGGCATTACATATTGGCTTAAACTACAGAATAAGTGTATGAAAAGTTTGGCAAACGTCATGCTTATGGCTGCGTCTCAATATTATATTTAGAATTAGTATTATAGAAAAGATAAAAAAATATCTAAAAAGATCGTAAAATTCAAATTATTTTGAATTTGAGATATCCCTTGTTTCACTTAGATGTAATTAATTTTTGAATCATCATTTAAAATTTGATAAGACAGTCTAATAGCTTAGAACTCTTGGCTTGTGACTGGCAAAACAGATTGATTAATTTTAACATATTAAAAACATTAGACAATAAATATTGGCGCAACCCAGATATCAATTTCGCTAATAAGGATATAGGTTTGTTTAAGTAATGAATTCAATTATAATATATTAATAAGCATGAGTTCCTTCTGCGTGTTTTATAAAATAAGACTTCAGTGTAAAGCATAGGGCAGGATAGCAAAAAATAAATTTTATAAACTTATTATGGCTAAAAGAAAATCAAAAACTATACCATTGAATCAATCTTGTACCTATTTTAATATATTATTGAATTAGTATGATCGCAAAAATAAATATTTTAAAATATATGTCATTAGATATTATTGTTAAAAAATTCGAGCGATTAAGTAGTCGATTAGTGACTAAATCGAATTTTTGAACCGAACTTGCATTATTGTATATGTCAGGTTAAAAATATAAATTGTAAACATGTAAAATTGGGAAATGAAAATAAACCATAAAAATTTTTGTCATATATGTCGTATTTCGCTCTTTATCGTTTTTTTAATATATTATTTTATATATATGTAAAATCATTCTCGTTCTTTTTGTGTGAATACATTATTTTATAACGTCATTATATTTATAATATTGGCGGAGTAATTTGGCTCCGAATGATAAGACTCAGAATGAGTCTTGTTATTTTGGGGGAGCGAATTATTTTGTTATTTATTTAATTATAAGATATAAAAAGGCCGTTTTTTAGGCAAAATAATTTTTATTTTTTTTTAAATTTAATAGTTTATTTTTCCGTTTGTGTCTTTTTAAAAAAAAGAAGTCTTTCTCTTGGGAAATTAAGTACTGTGAGGAACTTTAAAATTTTCTGTTTTAGTCAACGAATTTTATTCAACGGTTCGGCACAATTGCAATAATATAATCTTTATTTTTTTACAAAATAATATATTTCATTTATTAATTTTGATTTAAATAACAAATCATAATATTACAAAAAAAATTAAAATATAAAAATAAACAAAAATGCTTGTGTATTTGATATATTTATGTTTTATATGTATGGCGTAACATATCATTATTTTTACATTGTTTTATATTTTTAAATTAAAAATAAAAACAATATTACATATATATAAATATACCCTTTTTTGGTTACGCCGAAATGCCGCCGTTTAAGAAAATCACGCAGAAATTTCTTTCATATTTTATATCTTTTTATTCTAATAATTGGTCAACATCACTCTTGTAATTTTTTAATGTCAATCAGGATTTTGATGAATTTTTATTTTCTACTATTTTAAAATAATAATTATATTGACTCGATTTTATTTTATTTATGATTGGAAATTTTATACCCACGACCTTCTTTTCTGGACACATGATATCGGCGACGATAACGATAACAATTACGAAACTATTAGTTGTATA